CTTGTTAAAAACTAAAAGCTGGTGTGAAATCCTCCTCTTGTGACCCACTCTGCTGTGATTGGTAAGTTTTAATCATCCGTGCAAGCTCCACCTACCAATTTTAATTTCCTTTTTATAATTTTTGGCACATTCTTTGGATTAATTTTTTTATTAAAACCATTCTAAAATGTAAATATGATTTAAAGCTGTGTTGTTGTTAACAACATTTGGAGTTAGGAAACAACTTCAGTTTTCTAAGTTTTCCTCAGATGGAGGGTCCTAACTTGGGTCACTGAAACAACTAGCTGCACTGAAATGACAAAAAAACAATATTCTCTAAAATACTACTTTCACTATAATAGCCAAATAATTTAATGTTTATGGACTTCATCCAGACCTGGGCTCCAAACTTTAGTTAAGTTTGTCATTTGAAGAAACTTTCAATCTTCTTGCGATTCAACACTTCACAACAAAACCATAAAAAGAAGCAGGTTTCAGTTGCATTCACACAATGTGCTTAGGTGTGGGTGTTTTTATTGGTACTCTGAAATGTGACTGCAGAGAATCAAAAACTGATGATTTGCTTTTTTTGATTAAGTTTTCTAGTTCCCCTACTTCTTTGTCAAGTTGTTCACAGATTTCACTGCTTCCTGTCTCTTCTGTTTTACACCCTGACTGGTGCAAATCTGAGGTGGTAAATACAGAGGTGTCCAAAGTATTCACATTCATTACTTAAGTAGAGGTATAGATACAGTATTAGGGTTTAAAAAATATTTTTGGAAGTAGAAGTATCAGCTCAAAATTTTAGTCAAGTAAAAGTATAAAAGTACTGGTTTTAAAACTATCAGTACTTAAAGTATAAAAGGACACTTAGGTTGTGTTCAGACCTGATAATTTGCTGCGCTTTAAACGAACCAGAGTTAGTTTCCAGCGTTGGTCCGGACCTTTTGTGCAGGTGTGAATACACTCATGCTAACTCTGGTGCGGATCAAACAACCGGACCGAGACCTGCTTTTTGAGGTGGTCTCGGTCCACTTCCAAACGAACTCTGGTGCGGATCAAACAACCGGACCGAGACCTGCTTTTTGAGGTGGTCTCAGTCCGCTTCCAAACGAACTCTGGTGCGGTTCGCTTCAGTTTCTGGTGTGAATACAGACCGGACTCTAATCGAACCAACTGCATTAAACATGCACCTTTTTGGACTTCACAGGCCACCATTGCTGAGCTAAATAAACTGAAATAATACCTGTTTCATCGTCTCCTGTTAGCAGCTCTACTGCCGGCATGTTGTGGATCAGAACACGCAGAGCACCTCATGTCCTTTGGGTTGCGGGACACATTTACTGACGCCGCTCCAAAGTTAGAATATCATCACGGAACCACCATTAAATTAGCTGCTTCTGACATTTTAAATGCTATTGCAGTTGTACTATCAGCAAAAATGTGC